ATGAATAAAACCACTGGGCATGTTAGTTTTAGCCTTGAGATGGTTTTGCCTGCAAACACCATCAGAAAAACCATAGTGTTTTTTACAGCTGCCTATCTTGCATCTGTTTCAAAGAGAATATTCTCTTTCCCCTCCTCACCCCCTGCCCCCCATTTCCATTTCCTTTTCTCCTGTTATTTTGTCTATTCAGTGAAATGCCCCAGAGAAATTTAAGCCACTGAAGAACAACATTAAAGCAAATCTGCTGGTGCCTCCTGCATGTCTCTGAGAAAATACTCTATATAGGGACAGCTCAGCTTCTTGTAGCTCGTATGTACTTTGTCTTCTTGGGTCCTCTATTTTATGAAGAAGTCACTAATGTGGAAAGAGGATCTTTGTTTCTTCGGACCTCGTCTGTTTCCCCCTTTTTCCGTCTTCTACCTACAGCTGTAAGTTGTGCTCTGGTATCCACGGTTGGGATGAGAGAGATTGTAATGTCACCCTACTGCAGAGGATAATTGTGTAGGGGATGAGCAGGTAAACTTTTAGAATGAGAATGGACTGAAGTTTTTTCATCTGAAAAAGACAGGAGGAAAGGGGATCTGTATTTCTTCATGAAAAGGTAGTGAGGACATTTGCTAGTACATGTGTTGGGCAAGCTGTAGTGATGGGCTATGTCTGGAAAAACTATAATCTCCAGTAATTGCTGTAACAAGAGGATCTTACAGCATAACCGTTTTCATCACCTTGGTAAGAGGGAAGAAGTACACTGAGGGGAGATGTAATTTGGTATGAGAGTCAACCATACGTGCCTTATGGAAACATAAAGGAATCCACACTACAAATATGTCCAAGGGAATGCACTGTATTAACATTTTTCATGTTGTTTTACTATTTCTCTGGCAGGCTCCTGTTAGGTGTACTGTGACAGGAAAATGCATGAAGGTTAGTGAGGTCCTTAGCGAGTCTGGAGCTGTGTGCTGTAAAAATACCTTTATTGCTAGGAAGAAGTATTCTAGGCATCGTTCATAACATGGTGTTTTGCAGAAAGCAGTGTTTACTAATGTCATTGGCGTTAGAGGAAGAGAAGCACTAGATGTTGGTTAGGAAAATTGGACGAATACTTAATCTAAATGCATTTGAGTTCATTTTTGTGATACTTGCTGAATTTCAGCACACCATCCTAGGTATTCCATTTGCTGGCAAAGACTGCTTAAAACTGAATGCAAATGTGAAAGCAATTGGTGAATCAGTCGTATTGGGAATCACTTTACATTTCTCCTTCTTTGCTAAATAGTCCAGTCAGTCAAAGCTCAATAGTGATAACATGTGACTTGCAAATCCAAACACTCAGGACCAGTAGTTGCAGAAAAAAACTACTCAAAATGCACACAGTTCAGAGCAGCCAAAATATATAAGCAGAAATTGCTTATTAAATCTAGATTTTTATTCTGGTCTTCCCATGAAGTTATACCTTCAGTCATAAAATATTTATTGAAAGTCAGTAAGTCAAGGTACCACAATTAGAGCTGGCCCCAAAAATAAAATTAAAAGTTTAAAAACCTCATTTAAAAATGTAATGTTTTTTTTTCCACTAAAAGGAGACATTCTCAGAAAAGATTCTCAGTTAATTCTAATCATAATATAACCTTGAAAAACTCAGAGGAAAAAAAATAAGGCCAAATAATAAAAATATCTTAAAAAATAGCACACAGTGAACAATAGAAAATGCCAGCTAGTAAATTATATAGTCAAGTTAGTTATAATCATTAACTGCATCAGTCCTATTAATTTCTTTTTAATTGGGTGTTGCACCCAGACAAGCAAGTGGGAGAAATACAAAAGAAATAGCACCCCATACTTCAAGAAGATGACTGTCTTAATTAGCTCAGGGCTTTCATGCAGTAAGGCATAATGAATCTTTTACCAAGGTCCTGGTTATGTGCAGTATCTTTAGCACTGTGTGCTGGTTCTAAATAAAAGTATCTCTGGCACTTAGGCACTTCTAAATTTTACCAGTGAGACTTCAAATCCGTAGTTGTACTTGCATCTAAAGTTCACAAGTCTTTGCTGTTTTGAGGATGGTCAGGTCTGAATTCCTAATCCAAACACAATGTGTTACTCAACATCCAGGTCTTCTGCTTGTGTCTCAAACTCTTCTATTACACAATTACAGAAGGTTTTGCAAAGGAACTCCAATATGGTGAATGGAAGAGTTCATTAAGAATCCAAATTATATATGAAGGAATGAGGCACATTGTCATGGCACAACAGGGGTGTGAAAGAAAAAGATAGTAGTTTGTGTCTTCGAAGGAGGAAAAATGATTGGAAAGAGTCTCCCTAGGAAATAATAGGAAATTAAGGTCACCAGAAGTCTCTGACAGGCATAGGATATTGAAGAGAAGAATGTGCAGAATGAGTCCAGCTAAGAGCTCGTGGACAGTTTTACAGTGCTGAGGACAGTCTTGAACAGAATTCGCGGTGGATTAGATGTAAAAATACATCATGGTGTATCTGGTTTCCAACAGGCTTCTGTGTCCATAATGTTAATGATTCCCAGAAGGCATACAGGAGATGTCTGACAAGCTGACATTGCTGTGTCTCTGTCTTGTGTTAATCTGAATATGAGAAGGAGAAGGAAAAAGTGGCAGATGGAAGAACAGATAGAAGACAGAAGAAAGGACATAGAGTAGAGCTGTTTCTTTTATGAGCAATGGGGAAGAAAGATATTCTTTAGAATAGACTTATAGAATATACATTTTCTTTTCCAGAAGAAGCTAGAGACTGCATCTTAAATGCTTTGACTGTTCACTGGAGCAGATGCAAAAGTTGAAAATCAGAGGGAAAATGCATCAAACACCTGGTAGAAGCCTGTTAAAAGCTTCATCACATTCCAGTAGGCTAAATGTCCTAGCATTCCTGTCAGATCTTGGCATGGTGATATTTGCAGGCCTGCCCAGGTGGCCTGAGATGGTTTAAATGGCATGATAGCTGGGTTCATTACAACTGATGCAGTCTGTTACAGAATAAGACCTTCTAATCACTGCAGGGCAATTGCTGGAGGCCAATAAGGAAGATGCCAGTCAAGGGGGATTGTGACAACCTGCCTAGGAAATCCTCTGCTTGATCTAATGCACAAGCATAGGAGTTGAAGTATGCCAAAAGTTTAATTAAAATAGATATATTTCATAACTTAAATGTAGTGTAGTTCAGATGGACACGTGCCAGAGGGCCCACAAGTGTCGCAGGGTCTCAGTGAAGCAACTAGTTCATGAGGATTAGCAAGGATGGTGAGTTCTGTTAAATTCCTTTTTTGTTGTTCTTTGTTTTTTTTTTTAATTTG